ACAGGCATCGTATCGAGGACAAAAACCGACGATATAATTCAGATAAGGCAATTCATATAAAAATTTAATATGCACACCATGGTCTCCTGAGAGAAAAAATTAAATCCACTTAAAAACAACATCCAGAGATATTTGGTCTAGACGTGAAAGGCTATTTGTTTTACCAGAAATCGTCTAAGCGATGTTATGAAAGTGCTTCCTTTCGAAGCGGTGGTTAATGATCAGTTACTATGATGTCTTTTACGAGTTACGGTTGTTGACCAAAACAACATGTTAAGGTTTCCTTGCAACTCATAAATAATGATTTTTAAATAGTAACCTCGTGAAAAAGCTTCTCAACTTACGTGGTACGCAGACAGCTCAAACTTGATAACTAGTCAAAGTATTAATGAAACGAGAAGTTTGTTAACTCAAAACATCAAACTTACGAGGTGACTTCTCGCAGGCCAAACAATGTCCGTTTATAATGTCGTCCAACGAATATGGGATTTCAGTAAGGTTTTCTTGTTGTGAGTTTAAACCAGAGCCTGATAGTTTTAGGTGCTCGGCACATCTTAACACATATTCCGGAAGTTTAGTTGTCCATAAATCATGGACAGTGAATCCTGCCTTTGCAGGAGCTATCCAGGCTTGCTTTTTGTCTGCGAACCTAGTCACTCGAAATCTTGACTGTGGAGATAAAGCTTTAAGATCATCCTCCGTAAGTTCTACCGGAGTCGGAGACATTTCAGCGTTTTCAGAGCGTTTTAGGAGAGATTTGGACGAACCTCTTAGGGGTCGCTTTTTTAGTTCTGCATCGCTCTTCATATGCTTCAATCTCTTTCTAGGTAGTTTTTTAGACATGGTGACACTTTTCGACTTCTTTGTTTCAAGACTGGCTGATGTTGAAATAGGAGGATGACTCCCCTGGAAATGTTTCTCAGAAGTTGGTGAAATCTTATTTTCTGCGTTGATTTTTTCATGCCGAACGCTTAACAATACAAACCCTGGTCTCGTACGACCTCGTATACTCTCAACTATGTCATTGCTTGGCTCAGAAGGGAAATCCAGAGAACCTCTCCGTATACAGTGATCTATGTCCTTCATCGTAAATGTTTGAGCAGTTGGTCCACCTGGAGAAGCATCAGGCACAGCTTGGCTGGCTGGGAATGTATCTTCCGTAGAATTATCTTGTTGAACGGAAAATGGATATAAGACGATGGGTTGACTCGAGTATGCTACGGTAACTGGACTTCCTTGGGTCGGATTACTGATTTCGTCATTTGGAGTTATGTGTAAAGACAAACCACTTTCGCCCTCAAACTTGGCTTTAACAGGGACCAGAAATGTCGACATATCTGAGTTCTCGTTGTTTACAGTTGAAACTGGGTTAGAACTTGCATCAAAGTCAGAGTTTTTGACAAAACATGGCAGTAATTTAGGGTTTTGAGACTCATTATTGGAGTCTTTAGTTAGTATTAGTGTGTCTTTAATTGAGTTATAATGTTCGGCAAGCTGCAACTCAATTAACTTTTGAAGCAACAGGAGTTGAAGATGTTTTTGGGCGTTTGTGTCCACGTTGCTCGAACTCTGGCTCTGCATACTGTAAGGAACATCATTTATGTGGTTTTGCATACTCGGAATGTTTATCTGGTTTAACTCAGCATCATTTGAACTTACTTCTGAGTTTGGAAAAATGAAGCCATGGCATATTGGATGACTGTAACTCTGTGTATCACCGCCTACAGTCTCACTGGAGGCACATGCACGTTGTAGCGACAAAGGCACATTTGTGGGATTTAATGGCATATATATCACATCATTTGTTGGAATAAGCAAATTAGGTGAAGATTCGAGGGGATATGCATTGAAAGCTGGTTGTCGAGAGGAACCACTTGGACCTTCTTTAGCAGAATCCGCACTTGGTTTGCGAATATCGAAGCTATTTAAGCATGAGTTTTGCGAAGAGGCTGTCATCACAAGACCAAAGTGAAATCCAATGACGTATTTCAAAGTTGCGCAAGGTTCGGTATTGATTGAATTTACTTGAACAAACAAGCCTTCACAATCGTAAATCCAATCAATCCAGTTGGAATTTACAGAAGCTTCTCTTAACACGCTTTATTTCTTATTGAAAGTAACAACTGGCATAACGGTGTGAACTGTATGCCTATATATATTATTTCATGCTTTGCTTACTCTATCTGGGTTTCAACGGACTGCTGAGGTATGTTGTGATATTCTTCCGTCCAGCAATGAGTAAAACGACTTTCACCACCCAGTTTATAGTTAGACTCAGTCAATTCACATATATGAAATATCTAAAACGTGGTCATGTTTTAATGGGTGAATTTATCCGCAACGCAACCATGTAAACTTAATGTATCGCCCAGCGTAATAACGGTCATCTGTGCGTTCAAGTAACCACTAAGTTCGTCGTTTAATATATATTTTTAATTAACTAACTAGATTATGTTGTTAATTTTACTCTGTTTTTAATTTTTATTCGCCACGTCTGACTGCGTTACACTGTACGTTCATTGCACGCAGGGATGATATCCCAGGTCATAGTGGGTTTAATCACATAGTTCATTGTTTCCAGATAGACCATGAGTGCATAACGTTACTGAAGAATGGTTTGTTGTACTGTAAACTATGTTTCTATAAACAACTGACTGTTGTCTTCAGTCGGAAAGCAATATATATATCCTTTTTCTTCTGTTAGGTAAGTTCGACTGGCCTATATTTCGTGTTTTGGTTTTATCGGCTTTATTATGTCCATTTAACTACTTTGAGCAACATGTCTATGCAAATGAAACAATAACTATGACACTTGCTCAGTTTGGTATTCTTGGTTGTCGTATAGTGCAGTTGAGTTGAAAGAATTATGATATACTTAAGTATAGTGCTTGAAGCCTGTAACGAAACAGATCAGTTTAGTTAGTAGAGTTGCCCGTTTCTAATGTGTATACGGATTCAGATCAGTCTGATTAAAAATAGGAAAAAATGTGCCTTTGATGCTGTTGCTGTCATACATTATAAGGTAGCTTTAAGTATGTTTGGTGTTTATTTCTAGACTGTACATTTATCACTGACCATATTTCATGACCACTGTCATTAAACAATTTCCCCAGCAATAACATCGGTAGCAGGATAGGTAAGTGTCTGAGCTTTTAGTTACCCGCAAAACAGCAGTATACAGTCTTAGAAGATGAGTGTTCTGTGTCTCAATTAAATGCAGCTGGCTGTGGACAAATGTTAAAAATCTTTTTGACAACTGAGACTTTTAGTTTATCAGACACTAACTCTGCTTGTATGTTTTCCTGTTAAACTAGACGCAGATGCATGGGAATACTTAAATAGGAGCAAAATAATAAAAGCATTGCAATACGGTACTAAGCCCATGTTATGCTTTGCGCAAGTAATAGTAACTGACCTAATCTAATATTCATGAACTCAAGGTAAATCACAACTGCATAAATTCTTTGCTAAAAAACATGTAATTTGGTTATTTATCTATTCCACATTTCTGACTAAATTCATCACTTTTTTTTCATTTAGAATGCAACAGGAGTGAGCCTTCACAGATCCTAAAAACTGTTTCGCCCTTGGAACTATGGAACTGTTTACGGGAGACCCAACTAACAGCAGATTATAAAAAGGATGCTGGACGTCTATTTTAGTCTCACAATCACTTCCAGTATTTTTTGACTTCTTTTACTCTTTCGTCTGCAAAAAAACAACAAAAACCCCAGCTTAATATTACCAATACAACTTTTAAACGGGAACTTGGTTTAAACCTTTGTTTGATATTCGATTATTAATGAAAGTTCTTGAGTAAACTTTTGAATCTAATGCTACTTTGTTTTATCTACTTAATCGTTGCAAGGAACTTGTGATACACGAGCCACTTAGCACCTAGTTCATGTGTTCAAATGGTTGTGGACGGAATAGAAGAAGCTTTCGTTTAACAGGCTTCCGTGTCTAGTAACAGGGGATCATCAAAACCTCCAGGCGGGAACCTAGGTATGTTAACAATAAAAGATGAAGGAGAAATTGGTAAGTCATAGTATGATACTATCCTTAATCCTTAAGAATAGGCCCAGTTGCCTCTTAAAGGACTCCTAGGAAGTTGCTTGGACCTGCTGGGTGGGCAGCGGACTCCAGCATCTGACAACTCCTAAGGAGTAGGAGTCGCGTCTACAGTCCATCCTGCTATGTTGTGTCTCTAGTTTCTGGGACTAAGCTTAAGTAGGTGTTTTAGGGGATGTCCAGAAGTATTGTAAGCCATTAGGTCACCTCTAAGACATCTATACTCTAATGAGTAGAGGTTAAGTGATTGGATGCGCTCTTCATAAGGTGATTTGGTACATACCTTCTTCATTTTCTTGGAAAACCTACAGACTCGAGTCCTCTTACAACTTCTTCTAGCAACCACGAGTTGTCATGGCAGCTGATGGATGGACACGCGTTACACATCCTAACCGTCCCTGCGTCTAATCTCATAGCTTCTTATCCAAATGTCATATGATAAGCAAGTAATGCCTCTACCGACAATAATGGAACACGAGTAACTCAAAGGCACCCTGTATGGTACCTTACATTGGTCTACGCACTCACTTAGCTCTTTGGTGAGAATATTACTACAGTTCTACTGAAAATCCCATGAACCCCCCTACCTCCATCAAAACAAATAAGTCTGTATTTGCTGCATATAGCAATTTTGTTATTCAAAAGTAAGATATAACAGTTAGAATTGGAGTAAAATGGCAGTATACAGCAGATGCACGTGGTACATGTCTTCATCGATTAACTGACATAGAGAATACGGATATTAGCTTAACAGGCTTATTTAGAAAGACTAGTGTCTACTTTGAACTTACTGCGTGAGGAAGTTATACTGGAACTATGAATAATGTAGGAATCTAGTCTCCTAGGGCGTACGAAGCACTCAAACTGGAAGACAGTTGTCGCGTTGCGAATGTGCGACTGATGGTCAAGGATAGCTCCATTGTAGATATGAGCTTCTAGAAATCGCAACCTTACGTCCCTTTGGAATATCCAAGGCATTAAGGATGGTGCAGGATGAATTCACCCGTTTCATGTTTCAAGGGGGCTGAAAGAGGAAGCAGGTAAAAGAAAAGACGAGAGGCAGAGTAGCCAATATTCATGAAGGAATGTTTAAGAGCACTTTGACTTTCGTGGAACTTATCACAGAGAATCGGTTACTCTTGATTACTGCACTCATCGTTTCTTGGATAAGTCTCAAACTTTCACAGTTATTGTTGATCTATTTGAAATACACTGTTGGAGTATGGTGCTTATCTAATCGGAAAACACTTCGTCAGGCTGGTGAATGGGCAGTTGTCACTGGTGCATCGTCAGGTATTGGTGAAGCGTATGCAGAAGAACTGGCCACAGAAGGTCTCAATATCATGCTTATCAGTAATGATGAGAAACAACTATCGTCCGTTGCTAAACGAATCGCAAATACCTACAATGTTCAAACACGAATTGTGGTTGCAGATTTCACTAAAAATGATGTTTATGAAATAATAAGACCTGCTGTTGACCAACTGTCCACAATTGCTTGTTTAGTTAACAATGTTGGTATGGTGTTACCCTTCGAGTTGTTTGCTGGAGAAGTTGATTCACCGAATGAAGAATCAATCAAAAATATCATTCATTGTAACATTTTATCTACACTGATAATGACAAACATCATTCTGCCGAAAATGTTAACACAGAAAGGACCTAATCCTGGTATCATAAACATTTCATCTTATACAGCTTTAAAAGTGATGCCCTACTTGACAATTTATCCTTCAACCAAAGCATTCATTATTCAATTCTCTAGATGTCTGGCTGCAGAACAGTATAGAAAGAATGTGATTATACAAACGATGTATCCATTATTTGTATCTACAAATATGACCGATTTAAGAGAAGCCACATATTTCACACCATCTGCTAAAGTCTATGCTAAAAGTGCATTGGATATGTTTGGTGTTGAACAACAAACCACTGGTTATTTTCCACATGAGTTAAAAGCATTTGTATACAATTTATTGCCAACATCATTGTGGGTAAAAATAATCGAACGTACGTTCACTCCAATCAGTAGACAATCGAAGAAGTTTGACTAACATGAATGTTGTTTTTCAACTTTCCTGAGAAACAGTAAAACCTAAAAATGAACATTTCGAAAATTTTACGAATTTCTTTCCAATTAGTTAAATGTAATGATATAAATCCATTCTATACCGTAGTTTCTCATTAGCTGCTTACAACCAAATTGTTGTTAAGTTTTACATTGAGGTTCCTGCCTGGAGGATTTGGTGATCCCCTGCTACTAGACACGGAAGCCTGTTAAGCGAAAACTTCTTCTATTCCGTCCACAACCATTTGAACCATTTGAAAAATAATTCAAATATGAAGGTGAAAATTTGCAGGTACTTTTCATCGTAAGGGTGAACATATTAGGTACCAGCTGACATCATACCGTAAAAATACACAAATGTGCGAGTGGTGAAATATGATCTTTAAAAAAGTGAGCTTAATAACAGTTAATTACCTTTTTACTCCCTGATCATGACCCTTCGGCTTCCTTTTATGGCCAAAACAGCAAACATACACTACACGCTGGTAGCAGATTTCCAGCTTTTCAATGTTAAGCTTGCTTTAATGCACTGCGTAATGAGTACAACCCCTCTATTACTGCTATATGGAATATTTTTCATAACAAACCCTCTGCAATAGATTGGTAGTATCTGTGACTTCCTCTATGTTTGTCGGATGTCTAGGTCCTTTCGAAAACAATTCTGATATCAACTACTGCTGGGCACTCTAGATTAGTCTGACTCGTTGGTGGGATAGTGTTGTCCATAATACTGAAGCAAACTAAAAACCGGAGATCGTTTCCTTCCATTCTGCCGATAACATCATAAAGGACAGTTAGGAACGAACTTGCGGACAGTTAGAGTCACAGGCGACAGCAACAAATATTTTAGCTAAATAAAGACGAACTTCGGCTTTGGATATCTAGAAAACAAGGTAAAACATAACCGATTGTCTTTTAGAAACGTAAGATTTTACGTTAGTACTAGCCAGCTAAGCTGAACGAATACAGTGACTTCAGTAGCGGCAGGTAAAACCCAGAAAACAAAGCAAAATCAGGAAAAATTTTGCTCCAACGTTTAGAGTATCACACTAACTTCTGGATTTTAGCACACTGAAACATTAAATTCTGTAGCTGCACAAAAGAAATAGCGGAAAAAACACAGAACGAAGCAACGCGGACGACATTTTATAACACAAGACTAGCCAGATTGCCTGAAGAAATGCATTGACTTGAGTAGAAGCAGCAAAAACCCAGAAAACATCGCTGATTCGAAATAAACTGCACACCAACATATAGGACATTACACTAACTGCGGTGTTTTAGCACACTGAGACATTAAATTACATAGCTACACAAAAGAAATAGCTGAAAGAAGCACAAAACGAAGAAAGCCGACCGCCATTGCTTACAAAGATCGCGGATATAATAATTCCCGCCTCATTCTGATTGGTTGCTAAGCTGAAGGGCACATTTACGAAATTGAGTTGCGTTTAATTGCAGCCCATTTACTTTGATGCATGCAAAATCGCCCCACAGTATATTGATTGAACGCCTGATGTCTTAAATCATTTTAACCTTGCTCTTGCCACTTTCCGTTCGACAAAACGAAAAATAAGACAAATTCTTTACATGACCCATCTGTTTGTCTTCCTACTTCTCTTAATTATGTTCATATTAGTTGTTTCATTCTTCAAATTCTAGTAGTACCACACGCTTTTGCACTGAATATTTATAAATATGCTTCAGCAACAACTAAGGTATTCCTTTAACATACTTTTCATATACTTCGTCTTTTATTGAAGCCGTTTAAACCTTTCATGTGTATTTGGAGTTCGAAAACCCTGTTATCCACAGCCCGTGTGATCGACGATACAAAGCCCGATCAAACCAGAAGCAAGAGATCAGTGTTCGAAGGTGTGTGCAAAAAGAAGGCAAAACTCTCACGAGAGTATAAAGTTATTGGAAGAGTGTTCATAGATAGACAGCTCGACAGATGGCCGAGTTCAGGGAGTGCAAATACGTCAGAAAAGGAAAACTGAACTAATCCAACAGAAAATTCCTGTGTTCAAAATTTAATGACCTCAGATGTCTCCATCTTTATCCAACCGTATGGTCACCGATTTAGCATGCATCAAATTGACTGGTAACCTGTTGTACATAAGGCCTATAATTAAAACGGGTGTTAGTAAACGCAACTCAATTTCGTAAATGTGCCCTTCAGCTTAGCAACTAATCAGAATGATGCGGGAATTATTATATCCGCGATCTTTGTAGGCAATGACGGTCGGCTTTCCTTGCTCTATGCTTTTTTTCAGCTATTTCCCTTGCGTAGCTATGTAATTTAATGTCTCAGTGTGCTAAAATGCCTCAGTTAGTGCAATGTTCTATATGTTGGTGTGAAATTTATTTCGAATCAGCATTGTTTTTGCTGCTTCTACTCAAGTCAATGTATTTGTTCAGCCATGCTGGCTAATCTTATGTTTAAAAATGGTAATAGGTTTTTTTGACTTGTTTTCCAAATATCCAAAGCCGAAGTTCGTCTTTATTTAGCTAAAATATTTGTTGCTGTCGCCTGTGACTCTAACTGTCCGCAAGTTCGTTCCTAACTGTCCTTTATGATGTTATCGGCAGAATGGAAGGAAACGATCTCCGGTTTTTAGTTTGCTTCAGTATTATGGACAACACTATCCCACCAACGAGTCAGACTAATCTAGAGTGCCCAGCAGTAGTTGATATCAGAATTGTTTTCGAAAGGACCTAGACATCCGACAAACATAGAGGAAGTCACAGATACTACCAATCTATTGCAGAGGGTTTGTTATGAAAAATATTCCATATAGCAGTAATAGAGGGGTTGTACTCATTACGCAGTGCATTAAAGCAAGCTTAACATTGAAAAGCTGGAAATCTGCTACCAGCGTGTAGTGTATGTTTGCTGTTTTGGCCATAAAAGGAAGCCGAAGGGTCATGATCAGGGAGTAAAAAGGTAATTAACTGTTATTAAGCTCACTTTTTTAAAGATCATATTTCACCACTCGCACATTTGTGTATTTTTACGGTGTGATATCAAACGTTACCAAATATGTTTGAAGAATTATGGTCTACTATGATATTAGTACTGCTTTAATAATAGACCTAATCCTAAATTTGTAGATTTGTCATGATATAACTGCCTAATCTATAAGATCTTACGTGGAAGTCACACCATCGACTACACCAACTCACTGTATCGTATCAATTACCAATACATGATGTAGAACAAGGTTAGGCTAGAGAAAGAACAATATATTTAATATGAATAGAAGATATAAGGTAACATTCAGCAGAACCACGCCTGCATGGCCGAGCCATGCCATCAATCAACTCCAATTCATTCAATTCATTGTTCGCGCCTTCTCCATTGTTAGGTATTTCTCCGCGTTAAATATTGAATATCTATTTTCTGAGTAGTCTCGTGTTCACAGCTTTGTGGATTGTGTGGCTATTGTCCAATGCCACTACACTACTCTCCCACCAGAATCAACGTGATGTTGGTTCGATACCAAATTGGATGGGATCGTCGCGCGCCGGAGGTTACCAAGGATAATAAGAATCCTCCGGGTATTGGTAAGCTGAAAGATAAATCAAAAAGAAGGCGGCAGCATCTGGTCGGGAAATACATGTAATAATTTTAAAATATCTGCCTTCATGCTTAAAACGCTTGAAATGAAAATTTGGGTGAAGATTATTTGAGCTATAAAAAATGGGGTTACAATAATAATAATAATAAAACGATGCGTGTTAATAGCCGTTGGTTAATAACTTAACGTATAGGTAGTAAGTATTTTGTGTTTAGAAATATTAAAGTGATGAATATTGTAGAAATGTTAATATTGGTATTAGTTTTGGTTTAAATTATGAAATCAAATAACGATTATGCCGGTAAGTTGTCCATATGAGTTGAATTCCAATTGCATCTGTATTAGTAGGCTAACTGAAGGAACAAAAGTATACCGTGGAGAAGAATTCCAACTAGTGTTCCAGTTAGTTTGATACGGTTTATTTAGTTACGGGGAGATTTTCTCAACCTCATTTTTACTTGACCGTGATAGAATTTAGTAATACTACTAATACACATGAATGGTTATCAAAACAAAATTTAAATACGTGAGTGATAATTATATGAATTTTGGACAGATAGCTAGGAACAAATCGTTAAACATGAGTGTATTCGTAAGAGACATGCTCTAGACTCAATGTTCTGATCTGCCATAGACTATTTATATATTTATACTTGCGGCTGATTGGGCATACAAGTTAGTTGCAAGTATGCAGTTTATCATAAGGCGGAATACGATTTAATTGAGATATAGTGGTTATAAGTTATTGAAATCAGTTATGTGTCATATTACTAGTGATGTGGTGCTGCAAGATGTATTTAGCTAAATAAGTTTTTACAAGATGATTAATAGTGAGTGATGCTCATGTGATTATCAGGGAGAACATAAGTTGTAACCAAGGGGAGTACACTCCCAACTCATGTCTATGATAATGGCTTGAACCTTAGTCAGTGTTGGGGTAAATTCGACATTGATGTTTTCAGTTTGCAGGAGATTTGCTCGACTGCTTATACTGATTATTTGCATGCATGATTGTGTCGCTAAACCATCAATTAGACTGACAAGGTTTTGAGATATTTACTGAATGAGCAACTGATAGAGAAACATACTGTAATCATCTGTAGTGAATGAAGATAAAAGAAAAACAACACTAGTGATAATTATAAGTCAATTTGCTGACCGATTTTGTTAATAGTTTCATTAATTTTATCAATCATATTACGTGATTGTCAAGTCATGACAATGCTTTGCTGCTTTATCCTGAAACTATTATGTTTAACTAGTTATAGTGTTGATTGAGGATTAGTCAGTGGAAAAATAGGTATTGTTGCTTTAGGTGATTCGAAATTATCAGAAATTTATAACGTTAAAGAATCCGAGACGCCTAATTTAATTATAAATTTCAATTCAGAAATATTCGTTTAGTGTTAATTCTAGTAGGCTACGGAGTTTTGATTTTAAACGTTTGTTTAGCCAACAGCTACCTGAGGATTTAGTTATTTTACTAGTGCAGTTGATAGTACCTAAATTTTTAATCTTATTATCTAAACTATGTTCGCATTTTAGGCTGCTAATATGATAAACCAATCCATAAACCCAAATACGATTAGCAACAACGACTATGATGGGTTTATTGATAAATGTTAAAGGCGATTCAGATGATTTCTAAATTTAGAAGACATGAAGATATAGTGTAACGTATGTACGGGCCAGGTTAACATGCAGGTTGTTGACGTATATGACAATTTAAAAATAATGAACATGACCAGAAAATAATTTTAAAGTTAAGACTGCTTGTGAAACTTCAGGCAGGAATATGACGCGTTATAAACATTCCATAAGAAGTTACTGCATTTAGCCTAGGGACACTTACAAATATATGGCAAAAGCAACTGGAAAGTATATACATGTTAAGTACAAAAAAATCATCCAGTAAAATAGTTGAACTCGCCTGGGTTATTTTTGAAAATTAGATTATTCAGTGGACGACATATATAACGCCATTCGTGGAGTAGTAATGATCCAAAAGTATCCAGAATAAAACATGCAGTATGGCAATTAATCCCAGGGTGCTTGATGCTGTGGACGTTTTTGGAACTCGCTTGATCAGAACAACTGAATGAATCCAGATAATTGTGTTGCCATTGAATGAGCCATCTAAAATGAACTTATGATTGCAGAAAACTTATAGCTGAAACTCACCGTATGTTTTTGGACTAGTGTCATCCTTGTTGTTTGGCAATGGAACTCGAGAATATGAAATTAGGCAGGCAGTGGTCGGAAGAAAAGATATTACAGGATAGTGCATAGTTTAAAACAGGATGAGGTGTTAAGTGAAGGAACACTAAGAATTAGATCCAGATAACTATCTAGTCCTTGATCGCATTGTTAGTCGATGTATATAGAGCTAGATGTTTAAACAAGTTTATTCTGCAGAAGCATGTAAATGCTATTAAAGCTTGTTAATGAACCATCAAAGCTAATTGATATAGATAACCGGTTATTGGTATCGATTGAGTTAGTATGTTATGAGTAATAATCAATATAACATTACGATAATACATGTGAGCATTAATCAGAGGACTATTAGAATACTGGGTTAACATAAATATAAAATCGATCGAGAAGGTTAAAGTGGAAATAAGAATTATTGGTAATAGGTTGCGTTTCTCTAGTCGGGCTTACCAATGTAGAATTATGGTCTACTATGATATTAGTACTGCTTTAATAATAGACCCAATCCTAAATTTGTAGATTTGTCATGATATAACTGCCTAATCTATAAGATCTCACGTTGAAGTCACACCATCGACTACACCAACTCACTGTATCGTATCAATTACCAATACATGATGTAGAACAAGGTTAGGCTAGAGAAAGAACAATATATTTAATATTAATAGAAGATATAAGGTAACATTCAGCAGATACCACGCCTGCATGGCCGAGCCATGCCATTCAATCAGCTCTAATTCATTCAATTCATTGTTCGCGTCTTCTCCATTGTTAGGTATTTCTCCGCGTTAAATATTGAATATCTATTTTCTGAGTAGTCTCATGTTCACAGCTTTGTGGATTGTGTGGCTATTGTCCAATGCCACTACATGTTCACCCCTACGATGAAAAGTACCTGCAAATTTTCACCTTCATATTTGAATTATTTTTGGACAACTGTCTTCCAGTTTGAGTGCTTCGTACGCCCTAGGAGACTAGATTCCTACATTATTCATAGTTCCAGTATAACTTCCTCACGCAGTAAGTTCAAAGTAGACACTAGTCTTTCTAAATAAGCCTGTTAAGCTAATATCCGTATTCTCTATGTCAGTTAATCGATGAAGACATGTACCACGTGCATCTGCTGTATACTGCCATTTTACTCCAATTCTAACTGTTATATCTTACTTTTGAATAACAAAATTGCTATATGCAGCAAATACAGACTTATTTGTTTTGATGGAGGTAGGGGGGTTCATGGGATTTTCAGTAGAACTGTAGTAATATTCTCACCAAAGAGCTAAGTGAGTGCGTAGACCAATGTAAGGTACCATACAGGGTGCCTTTGAGTTACTCGTGTTCCATTATTGTCGGTAGAGGCATTACTTGCTTATCATATGACATTTGGATAAGAAGCTATGAGATTAGACGCAGGGACGGTTAGGATGTGTAACGCGTGTCCATCCATCAGCTGCCATGACAACTCGTGGTTGCTAGAAGAAGTTGTAAGAGGACTCGAGTCTGTAGGTTTTCCAAGAAAATGAAGAAGGTATGTACCAAATCACCTTATGAAGAGCGCATCCAATCACTTAACCTCTACTCATTAGAGTATAGATGTCTTAGAGGTGACCTAATGGCTTACAATACTTCTGGACATCCCCTAAAACACCTACTTAAGCTTAGTCCCAGAAACTAGAGACACAACATAGCAGGATGGACTGTAGACGCGACTCCTACTCCTTAGGAGTTGTCAGATGCTGGAGTCCGCTGCCCACCCAGCAGGTCCAAGCAACTTCCTAGGAGTCCTTTAAGAGGCAACTGGGCCTATTCTTAAGGATTAAGGATAGTATCATACTATGACTTACCAATTTCTCCTTCATCTTTTATTGTTAACATACCTAGGTTCCCGCCTGGAGGTTTTGATGATCCCCTGTTACTAGACACGGAAGCCTGTTAAACGAAAGCTTCTTCTATTCCGTCCACAACCATTTGAACACATGAACTAGGTGCTAAGTGGCTCGTGTATCACAAGTTCCTTGCAACGATTAAGTAGATAAAACAAAGTAGCATTAGATTCAAAAGTTTACTCAAGAACTTTCATTAATAATCGAATATCAAACAAAGGTTTAAACCAAGTTCCCGTTTAAAAGTTGTATTGGTAATATTAAGCTGGGGTTTTTGTTGTTTTTTTGCAGACGAAAGAGTAAAAGAAGTCAAAAAATACTGGAAGTGATTGTGAGACTAAAATAGACGTCCAGCATCCTTTTTATAATCTGCTGTTAGTTGGGTCTCCCGTAAACAGTTCCATAGTTCCAAGGGCGAAACAGTTTTTAGGATCTGTGAAGGCTCACTCCTGTTGCATTCTAAATGAAAAAAAAGTGATGAATTTAGTCAGAAATGTGGAATAGATAAATAACCAAATTACATGTTTTTTAGCAAAGAATTTATGCAGTTGTGATTTACCTTGAGTTCATGAATATTAGATTAGGTCAGTTACTATTACTTGCGCAAAGCATAACATGGGCTTAGTACCGTATTGCAATGCTTTTATTATTTTGCTCCTATTTAAGTATTCCCATGCATCTGCGTCTAGTTTAACAGGAAAACATACAAGCAGAGTTAGTGTCTGATAAACTAAAAGTCTCAGTTGTCAAAAAGATTTTTAACATTTGTCCACAGCCAGCTGCATTTAATTGAGACACAGAACACTCATCTTCTAAGACTGTATACTGCTGTTTTGCGGGTAACTAAAAGCTCAGACACTTACCTATCCTGCTACCGATGTTATTGCTGGGGAAATTGTTTAATGACAGTGGTCATGAAATATGGTCAGTGATAAATGTACAGTCTAGAAATAAACACCAAACATACTTAAAGCTACCTTATAATGTATGACAGCAACAGCATCAAAGGCACATTTTTTCCTATTTTTAATCAGACTGATCTGAATCCGTATACACATTAGAAACGGGCAACTCTACTAACTAAACTGATCTGTTTCGTTACAGGCTTCAAGCACTATACTTAAGTATATCATAATTCTTTCAACTCAACTGCACTATACGACAACCAAGAATACCAAACTGAGCAAGTGTCATAGTTATTGTTTCATTTGCATAGACATGTTGCTCAAAGTAGTTAAATGGACATAATAAAGCCGATAAAACCAAAACACGAAATATAGGCCAGTCGAACTTACCTAACAGAAGAAAAAGGATATATATATTGCTTTCCGACTGAAGACAACAGTCAGTTGTTTATAGAAACATAGTTTACAGTACAACAAACCATTCTTCAGTAACGTTATGCACTCATGGTCTATCTGGAAACAATGAACTATGTGATTAAACCCACTATGACCTGGGATATCATCCCTGCGTGCAATGAACGTACAGTGTAACGCAGTCAGACGTGGCGAATAAAAATTAAAAACAGAGTAAAATTAACAACATAATCTAGTTAGTTAATTAAAAATATATATTAAACGACGAACTTAGTGGTTACTTGAACGCACAGATGACCGTTATTACGCTGGGCGATACATTAAGTTTACATGGTTGCGTTGCGGATAAATTCACCCATTAAAACATGACCACGTTTTAGATATTTCATATATGTGAATTGACTGAGTCTAACTATAAACTGGGTGGTGAAAGTCGTTTTACTCATTGCTGGACGGAAGAATATCACAACATACCTCAGCAGTCCGTTGAAACCCAGATAGAGTAAGCAAAGCATGAAATAATATATATAGGCATACAGTTCACACCGTTATGCCAGTTGTTACTTTCAATAAGAAATAAAGCGTGTTAAGAGAAGCTTCTGTAAATTCCAACTGGATTGATTGGATTTACGATTGTGAAGGCTTGTTTGTTCAAGTAAATTCAATCAATACCGAACCTTGCGCAACTTTGAAATACGTCATTGGATTTCACTTTGGTCTTGTGATGACAGCCTCTTCGCAAAACTCATGCTTAAATAGCTTCGATATTCGCAAACCAAGTGCGGATTCTGCTAAAGAAGGTCCAAGTGGTTCCTCTCGACAACCAGCTTTCAATGCATATCCCCTCGAATCTTCACCTAATTTGCTTATTCCAACAAATGATGTGATATATATGCCATTAAATCCCACAAATGTGCCTTTGTCGCTACAACGTGCATGTGCCTCCAGTGAGACTGTAGGCGGTGATACACAGAGTTACAGTCATCCAATATGCCATGGCTTCATTTTTCCAAACTCAGAAGTAAGTTCAAATGATGCTGAGTTAAACCAGATAAACATTCCGAGTATGCAAAACCACATAAATGATGTTCCTTACAGTATGCAGAGCCAGAGTTCGAGCAACGTGGACACAAACGCCCAAAAACATCTTCAACTCCTGTTGCTTCAAAAGTTAATTGAGTTGCAGCTTGCCGAACATTATAACTCAATTAAAGACACACTAATACTAACTAAAGACTCCAATAATGAGTCTCAAAACCCTAAATTACTGCCATGTTTTGTCAAAAACTCTGACTTTGATGCAAGTTCTAACCCAGTTTCAACTGTAAACAACGAGAACTCAGATATGTCGACATTTCTGGTCCCTGTTAAAGCCAAGTTTGAGGGCGAAAGTGGTTTGTCTTTACACATAACTCCAAATGACGAAATCAGTAATCCGACCCAAGGAAGTCCAGTTACCGTAGCATACTCGAGTCAACCCATCGTCTTATATCCATTTTCCGTTCAACAAGATAATTCTACGGAAGATACATTCCCAGCCAGCCAAGCTGTGCCTGATGCTTCTCCAGGTGGACCAACTGCTCAAACATTTACGATGAAGGACATAGATCACTGTATACGGAGAGGTTCTCTGGATTTCCCTTCTGAGCCAAGCAATGACATAGTTGAGAGTATACGAGGTCGTACGAGACCAGGGTTTGTATTGTTAAGCGTTCGGCATGAAAAAATCAACGCAGAAAATAAGATTTCACCAACTTCTGAGAAACATTTCCAGGGGAGTCATCCTCCTATTTCAACATCAGCCAGTCTTGAAACAAAGAAGTCGAAAAGTGTCACCATGTCTAAAAAACTACCTAGAAAGAGATTGAAGCATATGAAGAGCGATGCAGAACTAAAAAAGCGACCCCTAAGAGGTTCGTCCAAATCTCTCCTAAAACGCTCTGAAAACGCTGAAATGTCTCCGACTCCGGTAGAACTTACGGAGGATGATCTTAAAGCTTTATCTCCACAGTCAAGATTTCGAGTGACTAGGTTCGCAGACAAAAAGCAAGCCTGGATAGCTCCTGCAAAGGCAGGATTCACTGTCCATGATTTATGGACAACTAAACTTCCGGAATATGTGTTAAGATGTGCCGAGCACCTAAAACTATCAGGCTCTGGTTTAAACTCACAACAAGAAAACCTTACTGAAATCCCATATTCGTTGGACGACATTATAAACGGACATTGTTTGGCCTGCGAGAAGTCACCTCGTAAGTTTGATGTTTTGAGTTAACAAACTTCTCGTTTCATTAATACTTTGACTAGTTATCAAGTTTGAGCTGTCTGCGTACCACGTAAGTTGAGAAGCTTTTTCACGAGGTTACTATTTAAAAATCATTATTTATGAGTTGCAAGGAAACCTTAACATGTTGTTTTGGTCAACAACCGTAACTCGTAAAAGACATCATAGTAACTGATCATTAACCACCGCTTCGAAAGGAAGCACTTTCATAACATCGCTTAGACGATTTCTGGTAAAACAAATAGCCTTTCACGTCTAGACCAAATATCTCTGGATGTTGTTTTTAAGTGGATTTAATTTTTTCTCTCAGGAGACCATGGTGTGCATATTAAATTTTTATATGAATTGCCTTATCTGAATTATATCGTCGGTTTTTGTCCTCGATACGATGCCTGTAGATGACTACCTTACCATCGGGAATGGTAGACTACGTACCACGCCTCACAAAGAGTAAACATTATTTTGTCCAAGCATCGGGTCATTCCAGTTATAAATTTTGTACTTTATCTTACCAATTTTGTATTCATCAACGCAGGTAATTAGGTTGTCTTTAACCTGTTCAATAAGGTTGAGTAATCATAGATCTGTATGAGGAATTCATTAACTGAATTTAAATTGGTGGGTGGGGAGCGTTGCACACATGTTTTAGTGGCCGAATTATGAAACCTGATGCTCCTTAAAACCAAATTCTATTGAAACATCTCTAGATTATTTAGAGTACTTTCATGGTCATATAAATGTATCATTTGGACGGTTCGGTCAACCAGTATTGATCATGAAACAAATGTCTCCTACATTAACCACTCGTTCCGTAATCCACGCGTAGATCTGGTTTGATTCAAAGGATATGGCATTTTATATCTTCTAACCAGCATTTGAGAGCCTATTTTGCATGCACTTGACAGATTGACAGTGAACTGTTGTCTTAATTAATCGCATATAGGCTCATTTCTTCAAAACATCAAGGTAAAAATGTTGATTTTGACACTGTAAATACTAAAGATGTTACACAGTCATATCGAGAAGCGAGACCAACAAGATGTTTGGTTTTTTGAATTCTAGTAATTTCTGGGTTTGACCCAACTCATGTCAATATCATTTTAAAATAAACAAACTTATTTGAGTATCTGGCTTGAAACGCGTCATCTACGTTTACTGTTCTCAAGGAACCTATTCACATGGAGAGAACTCTCAATCTCGTGTTTTGATGAGCATTGCATATTTCTAGTTTTCCGCCATTTGCATCTAACGTCTTCAAAACAGTTTGTAGAAGTTTACCGGTCTGTAGAGACAGAGAGAGCTACAAACATTCTTGTCGTTTCTTACTCTTTGAGTGCAGGACATCACAGTGACGTTGTTATTCTGACTTATGTTAGAGTTACTCACAATTATTACCCACTATCAGGTAACACGAACCAATTAGAGTATGTTTGATAGCATAGCTTCAATGCTGATACAGCTCTCAAATTTATATACCTTCAAGGGAATTTGAGCTTTGGTTTCACTTATTTACTCACGGATTATTCATGACCATCTTAAGGGACTAAGACTAGGAAGATTTCTTCAGCCGTTTCACTTTAGCGTGGATTTTGTTAGTGATGATTCTGAATACAATGTCTTCTATCTAGGGACCAAATGTACTGCTGTACTTTTATTTAAAAATAGATCCGTTGCGATTAAAGCATAAAGATATAGATTAGGCCACGTTTTATTGTTAGTCCTACTATAATATGCCAATATAAAAATAATTTACTAATATTTTGTATGGTGAGAGATGGGTTTCCGAACCAACACTTTAATCTTAGTCACGCATATTTTGTTGACTGTTTACAACTGTAGCCACCGCTCGTTAGTTTTCTCTAAATTATATCCAAAGCTTTATCTAACTACATTCTATCATTTAGATCTGTAATGTTCCAGATTCTCTTTCTGATTCTTCATGTGTTGTTAACATAAGTTGGTTTGAAACATCTATCTTGAAGTTTATATTTTATAAAATTTGCCATCTCTATAGACAACAGTGTTACTGGTCTTCGAAATTAGTATGCATACTTGTCTTTGCCTATTAAATGACCTGCAAAACTAATCTTCCGATTAGCGTAGCTGATAATTGGTTTCCGGGTGTAAAGTTCTATATTGTACCACCTTACTTCGTCCTGAATTTGTGGATATACGTTTCTCACAACTACCTTTAATGTTACTACATGTAGTAATCGTTCGAAAAGTAGAAGTGGCAGAAACAATCTTCAGGTCTCTATGTGCTGGTATTTGTTTCTATGATAATGTAGTACGAGTTCTACTAATCGTCATTCTGAGTTCAGTTTTTTCTTTATTGTTTTTACTCTTTGAAGGAATAGTTTTTGTTAAGCATGTTCTTTTCCTTTATCAACTATTTCTAACGACGTTTTATTTTTGAATTTCATTCAATGTTAGGTTAACTTTATTCCTTAATCTTCCACTTTAGCGTAGCTTGTATTCCTGTAAGATTTGTCACTTAAGCAACAATATTGAGTTGACCTAATTACTTACTAAATTTATCAAAGCTTTTTCAAACCCCAAACTATCATATTTTCGATAAATTTAGTTCAACTGAATCTAACATACGTAGCAGTGTAGACGCACAGTCAGTAAACTCATCGTTTAAACTGTTGTACAGTGATATAGACTAATTACTGATCAACTGGCCGCGATACTATCTAAATATTTTTTGGTGTCAAAAACCAGCTGGACAGACAGTTTCTCAAGCGAGATATTGTTATATCGTAGCAAATAAAATAAAACCAGTTGTATCTCATTTGAAATATTGTTGATCAGAAATAGTTAATGTAATATTGACATTTAAAAAGTAGTTCCTACTATTAAAACTATTAGTACCTAAATATTAAAATGAAATGCCCTAACTATGATCGCTATGAGTTCTCTTTAAACTTTCACATGCCCAAAAGTGTCGAAACATATTTCTCTGAGATAACCATTTTAACGTCTCGCCGGGCTGTATATAATTTGGGAATATTAACGTGATCATATTCAAAAAGTGTTCATTGTACTAGAATTAGTGTAACTAGGAAGAAATACTCTGGCAAACATTCAGTGCATCTACTGTTATTTAATTCGCACATGATATCTCTTCCTTTCCATTTATCACTGTAGTTGAAAGATTTATACTCTGGTGTGAATCGATTGACTTCTCGTGGTGTTTAGAAATTTTTTAAAGACAAAACAAATGTTTAACTGAATTATCCATTGACTTTTGTATTCTTTAAATAAATTTATGTCGTCTGATGTCATTATGTAATAACCCCATATCTACTTTCTTCTTACTTGTTGCTCACCATGATGATATGAATTTTCATATTGAATTGTAGCAAAAATGTATTCATCTTAGGTTTTGATTTGACTTGTTCATTGTGGTAATCCATCTGCAAACTAGATCGACTTATTCTAGGATTAATGATATTTTTGATGGTGTTTACAAAAAAATTAAATTTGAAACGACTTAATGAAACAATCAGTACTTGAGTAACATTGGTTGTACAATTCTATCGTAGTTCAACCTAAGCTCTGTCTTAAAATGTAGAGTCAATTTACATCATCATTTATCGTGTTATTTATTTTAAGTGTGAAACTCCAATCCTTATGATTAGTACTAAATATAATGGGTAAAGATATCGAGCGATAACATGAATCGTTGTGACACGTCTAGCATATCAGTAGCCCATGTAAGACTTTGACCATATAATAAAAATATGTCATGTAAGTTACAGTTACTGGGCTAGCTGGTTAGTCTGTAGCTTTAGTAGTGACGTTTCAACGGTTGGAATAGCTATTCCAGTAGGGCTCTCAAACGATGTATCGAACCTTCTGCTCCCCCGCAGATTAAATGGGTTTATGGAAATACCCAGGATTCTCTTATATTTCCACTAAGTTTCCGTCCAATCAGTTCTGTAGTCATTCCTTTTAGGCGTAGGGTGTATACCTTTTAATAGGAAAAACCTAATGTTCATCCTCCGGGACGTCGATCTACTATAGTTTAAGATAAGAAACGCCTAAGAAAAAAGGCTGATTTGTAGTGCTATAAAGTCTATATATTGGTATTTGTTCCTATGATAATGTAATATGTGTTCTGCTAGTCATCATTCTGAGTTCAGTTTGTGAGACTTATTGTGATATATTCTGTAAACTTTTCTTCTTTTTTCATGCCACTGATCTTCATGGTTTTTTCTTTCCTATAGATTTATTTGCTGCTTAACTATCCTCTTATGTATCCTTCCACCTGCTTTAATATCATATAATTCTGTTGTCATTCTTCGTCCAATTGTAGTTCGGACGTCTAGTTTTTATTGCCAGACTCCGTCTTCCTGGACATTCGATATAGTTGATAATGCATACAAGCCTTAAAAATCCCATATGTTATCAAACCTGGACGCTTGATAGATCCGCGTATTTATTGACTCTTCGTCCGAGCCTTTTGGTTATGTGCAGAATGCCTGGCTGAGTTTAACGCAATTACCGCAACTAATCTTTTGAGACTGCATGTTAAGAGATAGAATCGGTTTGAATTGCTCAGATGCACTCACTTGTTTCTGCTTTATATCCCAGGTTTCTGAGCTAGTTCATAGTTTCCTGTATTTTTAAAAATCAATTTCAAGAATTTCATCTCGATGTACCTATATAGTAAGGCAAGCTGAAGCAATATGTATGCTACAAATCCTGTGTTGATTGCAACTTACATTCCACATCGAATTGTTTCAATATATAGCATGATACATAGACTCGGGATTTTTAAGTATAACTGTTTAGCTGCTGTCATTTATATTTGCTAAGGTCTTCTACAACCACTTATTGGATGCTGTACCATCCTATTTTGCACTCCACAGCTTTTTAGCTGTATTATGGAAGTCTAATTTTGCCAGTACCTTGGAAGCAATCGAACTCAAGAATTTTCGGCTTCAATAAGAAAAGTCCAGACAAAGGCTTATTATTTTTATGAAAACAGTTCTATAACTTTCAAGTTTATACTTTGATCGTTCATGTTGGTTAACTTTCTAAATCCAGCTCTATACTATTTGTACTATTCGATCTAGAAAAACAACATAGTTATGTTCAATGCCCCCAAGTTTTGTTATTTCGCTCAAATTCTTCATCATTAATAATTCTGTTTGGTAAATTTCAACTTTTTAAAATACTGATATACAATAAGCGTTTTTTATATCTCGAAGACAAAAAAATAATTGGGAAATATGGGCTAGTAAACGCTCCTCGTATTTTTTAGAAAGATGACAATCATTATTTTGTTCGCCTGACTCGCGTAATGAATACGGAGTAATGTAAATTTATTCTTTTCTAGGAAGCATTCATTGAGCTCAAGGCTGTTTAGCATATTCTAAGTTACTTTTCAGTCAAGTTTAATTGCAGTGTAATACCGTTGTTTAAAGGCAAGAAAATTATTTCAAATACTATTAATGTATAAGTTACCTAATAAAATTATAAATTATTATTTAATTGTACACTCAGCTATCAAAAATCGCCTGGTTTTCGTCCTCTAAAACTCAATTTACATATAGAGAAAGGACTTTTGTTTCACCTGGCGCTGCCATGATGATCAACTGAATGTTGGGCTTCCCTTCCCTTCATCTTATCGGTTTTATTTGCTTGGCCTCGTCTTTATTTAATCAAAACATTTGGATTGTTCATTTTAGTTCAGTTTTAATATCATTTTCAACTAATAGTTATTAAAATTAGTCATATTATTTCACCATTATTCAATAAAATATTTGACCCCTTATCAATTTGGATATTCAACTACGTTCTCTTTTTTTCATGCCATCTAAAAATAATATTATCATTAATAATTTTATTATTATCATTATTAAAATTACTCCAATATTGTAGTTTTTAGTAATTACTATCACTTACACGACTTTGTCCATCGTAATTATATTGAATTAGACATGTTTCTTATGTCCGATTATGTTATAATCTCATTTTGGTTTAATCCTTTGATTTATGTGTTAAGCTTGTATGAAAGTGAAAAGTATTTACAATGTGTTCTTCTCACTAGTGAACCAAATGAATTTTTTACGTGTTACAGATTAAATTACAACCATAAAACATTTCATTTATTTGCGCAAATCAGTATGTATGTGAGTGACTTATTGTTCACAAAAAGAAGTGAACTCAATTCACTATACAACGTTCATCATTCTTGATTTACAAACGTTTATTAAAGGAACCGATTTCATGAAGTTATTTGATTACGGTCTTATGAGTATCACCTAGTTTCGAATCATATTGACGTTTTATTACTAGTGATGATGTCACCGGTAATCTGTGTTTGACAACGCTTCTACCAGTAACACCTTCTAATATATTTCGTTCCCACCAAGAGAAATCAAAAGACAGAGTCGAGGAGATCGGAAGAGTATATTTGACGATGACCAATATATCGGAATTCTCTGATCTAATCTGGCTAGCGATTGCGGTTGATGTTGAGCACGGCGTTACCACACGTGATCTGGTGCGGATGACTGACCGAGCGCCTTCAGCTAGATGAGTCCACTAAAACATATGGTCAGCATCCAATGTCGAAAACTTACAGGGCTATTTATTTTGGGGATTTATTTACCGCTACACTAGTAACTCGTGTAATGTGATGTACCCACTACCAGAATCGAGACCAGTGTCGACGCAAAGCTATAAATATAGGGTTACTTACAATAAACTTTAAAGTTCTCATATATGAATGGTTTTAAGAATATTATTGTTATATATGAATTTTACATTATCTGAAGATTGAAACGGCAATGGTGGGGGAAATTCTTACAATCATCTCACTATTCGTGAATAAGAGTGAACTTAACAATTACTTCTTAGGTCTATCCCTCTTACTTTGAATTTATCTCAAGATTGTCACAACTATCTCTTGTTATTATAAGTTTTATTCAGAGATATTAGATTTATGATTTTAATTTTTGGAGTTTACTTGATGAGTAATCATTGATTTACTCATATTGAGACTCTTCTTTATTTAGTGTTATACGAATTTATTATTCTAGCCTCATTTATTTATGTGATTGTTTGAAGGTAGAATCTTGCTGAATGACAAGTCGTTTCTTCACTGGTTGTATCCTGTGATAGGTTATTGGTTTATATCAACTAACAGTATAAACTGTGATGAAGTGGCTGTTGAGTGCCATCTGGTTTTCGGTGATTATCCTGTTGACCTCACTGTATGTATAGATTCATTGCTACTTCTTGGTGATATAAGAGATCATAAAGCTTGTTACTATAGCTTTGTCAAGTAGCTGGTTTTTTATTTCATTTTACAGCTTGCTGTTTACTGTTTTGTCTAATTTATTAAGTTAGTTTCATTCTATGATGTCTTCAAAAGTTACATTTATTCTGCTATGAGTTGTGATGATTCCTGGGTTTTATAATTCCATGATATGAACAATGTTGAATTCAGTAGGTCATGAATACATTATATTGTTTCCACATACAATCACGGTATTTTTCTGAATCACAAAGTTTTTTCTGGCTACATTTCACAAAATTACATGTTTCATTTATCTAATTAAAATCCCCAATTTCCACATGTAAACTGGATACATTACCGTGGTTGAACTTGATAGTTTCAAATAAATTTAGAATTAGGTAGAAAGTTAATGATAAATATATTTTTGTGATGTCCCAATGAGTAGAAAATTGTATTTCTGACGTTTCGTGACTTGATGCTAATCACTTCTTCACAGCACATAAATAACCGAAATAAAATTAACACAATAGTTCGTAGATGAAACTTTTGTGTTTCTCTCCTTTGATCTTCTCTCATCATGATGGTCACTTATGAGAGTGATGAAAGACTTCTTAGAGCTTCTGAGTCATAGGTGTTACAGTAATTTGTTGTTGTTCAAATGACATCATTTTTCTGATCAACCAAGCACTTAGCTAGAAAATAGTATTCTAAAAGTGGAAGATCTTTTATCGGCTTAAGTTAACTGTAGACAAAAATGATACGGTCTGATAAGAAATCAACTGTATAGTAATGATATATATTTATGTTTACTGGGGATCTTTAAGGGAGAGTTTATTTTAATTTATCATATTTTATTGTCTTATATTCTCCTCAAGACATTATCAATATCAAGTCTTTCAATTATCTCGTTTAAGGTCCACTACATATTTCAACCAACATACTCTTACATGGCGAACTGAGTGAACATACATAAAAAGAACATAAACCAAGTGTCATGATCCAAATTTTGGAATAGAATAATGATGTACATGCTTATAGAGTCTCACAATGAGAAAAAGTTTTCCAGCACACTATGATTTTCAACTGTCACTTATCCAACTTGCTCCATATGACTCAAAGTAATAGCTTGTTTGCACTTTGTAGTTTGGTCCGTTTTTTTTAAATATTTTCAATGTATAAATATTTATTCACTCCATTTCATTCAATCAAGACATATTTTCAAGATATCTCACGAAATATGAACCATGTTTCATATTCATGTTATACATTATTTAATACTGGATTAAACTGGATTTGATTTCAGTGGAATTTTGCTATTACTTTTAGAAAATGGTTATTTATCATCACTGGATTTATAAAAAGTAAAAAGAATGAACTCTTTTGCTCTCAATGCAATATATTTAACATTGTCATGTAAACAAAAAGAAGCCTTTTCGGTAACTACTCTAGATTTAATGTGAACGTGTTGTAATCTATTCATCAGTAAAGTAATTTCAGGAATGTGGCTAATTTAAAACGTAATCCATATCATCTTTTTATGTAACTAACATATCATTATTATTTTTAAATTGTTACTCAAAAATTCTAAACTACTACAAAATAGAATATTAATCTTTACATCTTATAAATCATTAGGTGAGTGTATAATTAACTGCAGTTTATGTCATTCTCAACTTGTGAAACTTTGATGCAGCGTATAGGAAAATCATTCTAATAAGTAATTAATGTAGTAAAGTTTCGTTATTGTCATTTCTTAGAAAACTGTTGATTTTTAATTTCATATACTGTTTGGTTTCTTGGTTATTTCCAAGTAACTATGTTTATAAACTTCTTTTAGTCATCAACTGTCAATCATGCGATATATTAGAAAAGCTAACTTGTAATAATCAACTTGTTTTATGATCATACATTTTTTTGTACAATGAGATTTACATAAGATTACTATGCTAGTATATTTGGAAATATGAACATATTTTCTTCAAACTGAATTTACATTCTCTCTATGGCTTCATAACACAGAGTATGTATTAATTTTAAAAAGTTTGTTTATAAGATGAATGACTAATTGCTTATGAATGATTATTTGTTTTACTATACCACTTCATAGTGATATGTTTTATTTTCTAAAGAAAATTAACTAACAAACATGTAACTGTAGAACGATGTTATTTAATAGAACTCCACAGGTAGTCTGTGTAGCGAAAAGGCTCATGGTGCGAAAATATTCATTATTCACTAATTTGAACACATCTAATATAGTATCATAACACTTGACATATCTATTGAAGTTCTATTTTTTTTCTCCTAATGTTTCACCTTCCATATTATGTAAGCAAAATTATGAGAGAAATTAATAGGATGATCTGACTTCTAAACAGATTAAGCGATATTGAAGATTTTAGAACTGCATTTAAATGTTATATAATATTATTTGGAAATCTTCTGAAGAGTCTATCTTCAGTATTATTTATTCTAGCTTGATTGACATCACTACTTGCAAATCTCTCATTAAAAATATTGAGGCTAACTATTTATTCTTATGAGAGCAAAACATGTAATTATTGTGAGTTCTTTACAAGTCAAGTTAAATGCATCACAGCGTTATGTTTTTAATCTAAAATTCAATCAAGTAACTTGGATTAATTATTTTTAAAATCCTAGAAATAATAAAAAAATATTGAACATATTTAAATACACACAAAGACAACTTATTTGATGTTATAGATCAGAGATAACATAATTGAATTTATTTATCGAAATTGATGATTGCTTTTATTAGTATCATTTCGAAAAATACAGGAATCTCTTCAGGAGGCCACTTGATCCACACAATTCTATACTGTAAAATAATATAAGGAAGAATGAATAACATATAGTCAATGTTAAGTATTTCCAAATTTTTGTACAAATATTTTGAAAAAAGTGCAGAAAATGAATTCCCACTTATAGCTTGGATTATTTTGCTGATATCTGTAAACAATAGATTGATTACGTTTAATGTATACCTGAATTTGACTGCAGCTAAAATAAGACAGTGAAAATAAGAATCAGAACTATAGGATATATAATGCGTGAATTCAACTCATTTGATTTTAGCACGATATAGTAAAAAAAAGAAATGGGCTAAATAATATGTCCAAGTGTTCATGATCAATGTAATTAAATCAAATAAAGTTGGGTACCGGAATTGAAAATAAAAAGAGAAAAGCACACCATGTGTATTGTAGTTGTTGTAAAGTGCAAATGAATATGAATCTCTTGTCCCTGTACCGTATCATAGTAGTAATAAAGTTTAAATCTACTTAATTTGGATACACAGATTCAGTTTTATATTATTATTATTATTACACTTGCTAACCTTTTGAGATATCTATTCAGCATCCACCCCTATCTACTATATCTGACCTAATTCATATTATTCTACATATTACGTAATTTATGATTTTTAATTACATTATATTCTCTCACACCCCATGTTGACCATATTTGTTCTGATCATTTATCTCACAATTTCATTTCACTTATAAACTGATTCAAGTTAACACTTCATAATAGTTATCCCAACATTAACGATTGAATTTGATTTGATATGACAAAAAACAATTCTTGATTCAAATATTACAATTTTAAATGATGTACTCTGCCTTAAATCTGGCCAATCTTATGGATTATTAATTTGGATATGATAATTGTAGAACCTGATGAGAAATTATTGAAAAGAATATTCTTCGTTCATATAATTATGTTTTATATTTATTTCCTAAGTCAGTAACTTTTGCCTTTTGTTCAATCCCTAAATGGTTTACTTCTGACTTGCCTGTTTAAACGAGAGTTTGAATGATCAAACTGTTTTTGGTTCTGACCAAAGTAACTTACATTGATTAAATAATGGAATTGGTTACAACAAAAATGCATCAACTATTTGAGATACTTCGCTTTTAACATTCAATATCAATTTTACTGCATTAAACGTTCTTTATTGTGTTTTATATCAATTCACCTCTATATCATAGATACATTATTAACAATTCCGTTGACCACCTACTTCGGTCTGAGCACTGGAGCATAGTCACAGTCCACACACAAATCAAGTCAGTTGTCTGGCACACATGTATTCGGTGCCCCTTTATACCAACATTTATGTGTTCAGATAAATAAGTAAAGTAAATAATAGGAGGAAATGTGTTTAGCTATTTGTCTAGAGGCTTGTATCTTGAATAAAATTATTATTTAAAACACAGATATATGAAAGAAAAATATTCTTTTCAATAACGCCTCATAAGCTTCCATAATTGTGCATTCAAGTGAGGCATTTAGAAGAATAGCCAAATATAAATCCAATATCCCTGTCGACATTTTAGCACCTAAATGTCAGTAATATTAAATTATTTATGTCGAAATGAATAATGTATAGTTTCAACGTGAATAAATAACAGCCTGATAAACAACTAGTGTTTCGTGTAAAATTGGGAATATGTCTAGTCATTTATTTTATCATGGAAAAGTAACACGTCCAATTAATCAATAGTTATATTAACTATAAAAAGATCCAACTTCATCAAAGTAAATATAGTCTTCCATTTAGTGTTTTTATAACTTAGATTTAAATTGGTTGTTTGAATGTTGCTATAATTGTTTAGGACTGGAATTGATTAATCTCTTTTAGTATATGTGTATCCTATATGGATTGCCTCGATAATGTCTTAAATGACAATAGTTACAAAACTTGAATGAATCAATATAAAAATGAATCTTTTTTTTCTTTTGTACGTAAAATGATTTTATAATTTAGAAATGAAATAATTTTTACTGGGTTCATTTTTTTATTGGGTTGTTTTTCCTTAAAATGTAGTATGTCAAGTTAGATGACATAAATTCTATTTATCATCTGGTGTAAATATAAAAAGCTGTGACCGTTTAACGGAGTAATTCTATTTGGTATTGATAAAAAATAATTAAAATCATCTGAACGTTTAACAAAAAAGAATGCTAATAATATTAAAGTGTAGATCTTCGTAGTGAACTATGCTCAGTTAAACATTCTATAAATCTCCAATTTACTCGACTTATTATTTATCTATATCGATGGGTTTTATATGATGGATAAATCGAAAGAGTACGATGTAAAATATTTTTCACCAACCGTGTATAAATAAAAAATACATTTTCATCTAGACGTAAACAATGTTTTACAAGAATAACAAATATCCTATATGACCGCATTTTGATACTTAGCTCTAAACGTCTAACCGAAGGACAATGAATTTTAATATGTCAGATACTCGAGTGAAGCGAATTTCATAGTAAATCAATAACTTGTTAATGTGAGCAAAAGAACTCCATTCTACATTACCAAAGTTATGTACTCATGAATGATAGCTATAGAAATATAAATGACTGAACTTTATTTCAATTACACTATTCATTTCGGTAAATAAATTATATATTTTAACCTAGTCTGTAAAAATGGAGCTGTGAAATTGAAGTCTTAATTTGCTAGTTTGTTTTTGTGGAATGAGATAAAAAGAATTTCAATGATTTGGGGAATATTAGTTAAAGCGAACAATGATACTAATAAGATCTGTTTTATAAATGTCTAGTTATATGTGTATTTAAGAGTTCAGCATTCTTCGAGAAATTTTAAGTTTATTTGCTGTATGATTGATAAATGATTAGCTACATTCTGTTTTTAATTTGTATTCATTCTTAATCATTTTCACGTAAAACTTCTCCTTCGATTCTTTAACTGACAAAATGTGATATTCATGCACTCTGAGTATTTAATTTAGTCGTACTTTGAGGTAGTTATAAACTCGATGATTTGAGAACAGTGACTAGTTAATTGGAGCTGGACAGATTAAATGTTAATCTCCATCATGTGATTCAAGGAATTATAATTTTATTCAGTGAGATATAATCATATTATATTCTTAAGAAATATAACTGTATGTTTAATGACTATTGTATACTTTTATTAAGCTATTCAAATTTATATGATAGTTGGTCAGAATGTATATTCATGAATTGTACCATTGAAATTTTAATCAATTTTTCATTTACTACTTTTTTTCTCTCAATCTTTTAGCTAAATAATACAATTAGATTATGAGACGGAAAGTTGCTTGGTTTACTGTCATTCTTTCAGATAAATACAATAACAGAAGAAGTTATTTGTTATATAGTTTTTATTTCCAAACCGATTCAACAATTTTTTTTGTCTTTTAAAATTCATTTCTAGAATTCAGATACTTAAATGTATGTTGTCAAGAGTATTTGCTCAAAAAAATATATAATAAATTATACATCTAAATAATATGCTTCAAAAGTGATGAATTTTGTTATCCTTTTATTTAATGTTCTTTATGTACAGTAAATTGGTACCATACATTATAAAACCTATATGCATAATGAATTGAAATTTTTTTTTGAGCTCCTTGAATATTCCTTCTTTTCTATTGATGATGTAATTGTTCTTTAAGCATTATCTATTGGATAGATGAAGAAAGAGTAAGATGATTACTTTTAAACATTTCATTAAATTCAATGTATGAATTCTATAGACTACTTATATAATGTCAATATATTTATTTTAATATAGT